TTCCTGAGACGCGCTCCTGCAGCTCCTTCTGCAGCTCCTTCCTGGTGCCTAGCGACTGCTGCACTCGCAGGAAGTCCGAGAGCTCCTTCAGCCCCGCGTCGGTGAAGTACTTAGCAAAGTGATCTACACTCTGTCTGTTAACGGGAAAGAGCTCCTGAGAGAGAAGAGAGGCTGTTATGCAACAAGCTACTCACATTTCAGCAAACAGAGGACAATATTCTAATATGAAAACAGTGCTCAGAATATCTCATATTTTGGAGAAAAGAACAAAGACTGATTTTAAAAAGAATAAATCTTGGGTATATTTCTTCAGTATTTACTAAGCACTTTCTAAAATTAGGCAGTTTTTCAAAGAAAGAGAAAAAAAGCTAAGTCACTTAGATAAATAAACTAGCTTCACTCATTTTGACCGTTATTTTTCTTTTACTTTGTAATCAAAGTATAGCATGTGTAAATAAAGAACTAAACTTGCTAAATAAAATGCACATCAGACACGCTGACTTGGCCCACAGCAGAGATTGTCCCTTATGAAGACCCTGTACCTTCAGGGTCTTGAATATTTGGATTGTTTTAAAGTGACAAGAAAAAGATTGAAATCATTAGGTAGCCAGCCACAAGGTGTCCTTAACTATGTATGAATAGGCAGGTCAGTTTTAATAATGCTGAGATGATTTGAGCTAACATTAGAAAAATGACATTGACTATTGTCATCTCAAGGACCTCTATTCACATTCTGAGAAAATGCTATTATTCTAAAACCAGAGGCCCAATGCACGAAATTCGTGCAAAAGCCATGGCCCCTGCCTGCCGCCTCTACGTCCAGGAGCCTCTGCCACCTCTGCCTCTGCCCCCGCCCACTGCGATTTTATCTGGAAGGAAGGGTGTCCGGAAGGATGTCCACTCTAATTAGCATATTACACTTTTATTATTATAGATACGAGCTTGGGGACTAGAGAATTTTATTAAATCTGTTAATGACGGTGGCTCTCACATTCATGGCAAGATCTAAACTAAACCCACTCTAGCGACTTTTCAGTTCATTACATAACTTGTTGGAAAATTTAAAAAGAGCAATGATACCATTGCCACTCTTATTTTTACCTCCTTTCCATTTTACCGTATACAGCTTGGCAGTCTCAGTAACACTTAGTCATGTTCTAATCCTGTGTGACTTTAACACCCAAATAAGAAATTCAGGCAATTTTCAAAGTTCTCACATTTTTCAGACTGCTACCGTCTAAAAATTAGATCTAAACCTTTATGTTGGTTTGATTTGCATATATATGGTCAATGGCTATATGGCTCCAATAAACATCTCAGTAGAAAGATCTGGACCTTCCCCATGTATAGGGACATGAGCAGATGGCTTCTAAGTTATGGCTCAAGTTTCAATATTTTAATATCATCATTCCATAATTTCCCTTGTTGAGTCATGAGTTTCAAAATGTCAGGACAGAGTTGGTGGGAACAGTTACCAAGCACGCATTCATGTTAAAGCAAACATTTCATACCAGACTGAAATTTTGTCACTGACATCTATGCTAACATTCGAAAAGTCTTTCAAATTTGGGGACAGGGGACTAATTTGTTTTGAATTTCTGTTATGAATCAAGATGGGGCAGGTCTGTTGTTCATAATTGTGTAAAGTTGAAATTTTTATAGATGACAAATTGAGCCAACAAGGTTAAGCAGTTTGACTCAGATTATGCAGCCAGAAATATTTAAATATATATATATATATATGTAAAAGTGATTTTTTACAGAGAGGGAGAGGGATAGAGTTAGAAACATCGATGAGAGAGAAACATTGATCAGCTGCCTCCTGCACACCCCCTACTGGGGATGTGCCTACAACCAAGGTACATGCCCTTGACCGGAATTGAACCTGGGACCCTTGAGTCCACAGGCTGATGCTCTTATCCACTGAGCCAAACCGGCTAGGGCAGAGCCAGAAATATTTAAGGACAGAGCTGTGTGACCTTAAGATCAATCCTTATTCCATTATTCTGTGCATTTAGAAAGAATCCTTATTGCATTTAGAAAGAATGTGACTAAGAAATCTGATCTAAAATTATGTTCAGAACAATATGTCATCAAACAGATTACTCATGGTTTATATATGAACTATATCCAAAGTCCTCATGAATGTTACATAATGTATTGAAACTTATCATTCAGATTAAACTGAGGCAAAATCTGTCTAAACACTATCATGACATTTACTGTAGCCTGATCTACTGTAGCCTTGCTCTTGAGTCTATTCCCAGTGCAACAGTCAGAATCATCCTGTTAGTACCCTAAATCAGTGGTCGCCAACCTTTTGGACCTCACAGACCACCAGTGGTCCGCGGACCACCAGTTGGCGACCACTACTCCAAAGGTTTCCTTAAACCAGCGGTCGCCAACCTTTTAGATCTCATGTACCACCAGTGGTCCATGGACCATCGGTTGGTGACCGCTGCCCTAAATCACATCATGCACAAATCTGCAGAGAATTCTTCAAAGGATTCCTATCTTTTCAGAATAAAAGCCAAAGTCCCTCGATGACATGGGCTCTGATACTCCTCTGAGCTGATCTCCTATGTTCTAGCTCTTATCAAATGCTCTTGCAGTCTTCAGCATGCCATGCCTCAAAGACTTCTAAATACAGAGATTTACCCCAAGTCTCTCAAGTAGGCTCCACGAGGACAAGGAACTTTAACTTTCTATCCTGTTCTCTGCTGGCTGCATAGCTTCTAGGACTGTGTTGGCCCAGAGCAGGCACTCATGCTAAATGAAATCTATTGTCAGTGTTGGAAATAAACGAGAAACTTAAATGTTCTTTTCATATCTTAAAGACTTTAAAGACACAAGTAGGGCTATTTTAAGGCAAATTTCAAGAGACAAGAGTATGAAGTCATTGGAAATGCAATGAGACAGTTTTAGAATTATTCCATGAATTGGCACCTTTGCATGATAGCAAGAGAAAACCAGCTGAGAGACTAGGTAAGGAGAGGATGGCTGGGTGTCTTTTAATTTTAGACTTTGTCCTAAAATTGTAAAAGCAATTTCACTTGTAGAAATCTCTGCCATTTGGACAGCTGTTGCTTCTAGAAGAAAGAAATAATAGGCAGCAGATAGAAATTAGGAGGACAAAATATTGTTCTTGACTTTTTTGGGGGGAAAGATATAAAAATAGAGAAATTAGACTAGACATCCTTCCAGACAACCTTCCAGATGAAGCCGGGGCTGAGAGAGCTGAGGCAAGCCGGTGGGCTGCGGTGGGTGGGCAGGGCCTCCCTCTGCGAGGGAAGCCAGGGTCCCCGGGTGCCGGAGGGAAGCCGGTGCCGGCAGCTGGGGGAAGGCCTACTCTTGCACAAATTTCATGCATTGGGCCTCTAGTGAAAGTATAATCAAGCAATTGTGATAATAGGAGTTTTGAATGAACTACAATTAACTTGTTTGCTTGCTTAAGTAGCTTAGTATTTCCAATGGATCTTGGTATAAATAAGGACTGTTGTTTAAATTTTTATTTTGTCAACACAACGACATGCATTTCAGATAAGCGTTATTCAACTCTAACCCAACATATCAAACATCCAATTAGGTGGGCTCGATGGGACTGTACTATAGGAAAAATTCAC